TGGTATACAAAGAACTGCCAGTATTTATTACTTGCCATTTTTAGCAAAAACAAGAACGGTAGAGAAGGTGAATGCAACAAAGACATACAGAAAGCAATCCAACCAGTGTTACATTTAAAAACATCCTCTCAACAAGGTCAAAGGTACTGCTTAAAGGAGAAAAGACTAAGTCAAATATCTGTAATGTAAGTTTGTACTTACTGTGATATTTAAATATATTGTACGCTTTTGAACGTCATAGCTAACATATGCTGATTTTACTCCAATGTACTTCACATCGATAGAGCGAGGGAAAAGGAAAAACACAGCTAATCCGGAAAGAAGCAGACAGACAAACACAGACGCCATCACATACAGCTTTCTGAAAAGGAAAATTGGATAAATAGATATGTATCAAAAATTACATAATGAAACATTCAGAAAAAATATCTTTAACTTGAATCTTTTCCCTATATACTACATTAGCAGGGAAAGATACATAATTTTACCAACTTCTTGCATTTTAAAAGTATTGGTTATGGTTGTGTCAGTCTATTTAAAAGTTTGCAAATGTTCTCTTTAAAAGATGAATTCACTTATATGCAGAGTGGGATTTTAGGTTTAGGATAGATAGGAAATTTACTGCAGTGATTCCCAGGCCAGGCTGCACATTAGAATCAAGTTGGACAGCTTGATAAAAATACAAATTTCAAGAATTCTTTCTAACTTATTGAAAAAACATTTTCATGTGTGAGCTTTGCCATTCTATAACCCCCTAAAGTGACTGCTCATCAGAACCACCTGTGAAGCCCTTTTAAAAAATGGCATATCCACATGTCTGATCAACCTTACTATAATAAATCCTTTTTGAGCTTCCCTATCCCAAAGTACTTAAGTACTCGATTAAAAAAAACAAAAACTATTTACATTAACTCTGCTTTGAAGATACTGTTACACTGTTGCCTTAAAATCAAAAAAGGAGATAATATTATGCATGTAAAGAAGAAGTTCATGAAGTTTTTCTGACCAGGACCAAATGACTGAATTAAACTCTGTTTTTACTAATATTAAACTGGTCTTTTTACATGCCTGCCTGGGACTCTTTGCCTAGATGCTCTTAGCAGAGTCAATCCAAACTTTTCACAGGCACCTGCAATTTGGCCCCTTAGTTGTTAGTAGCTATGGGAACTGAGGGAGTTTCACTCTGTAGTCCAAGCCAAGATGTAAAAGAAATACATTCTAAGGGAGGCAGCGACACAGTTGTCTTTTTGTGTAAAGTGGACCTACGAAATGTTTGTTTATAAAAAGGATGTAATAAAAAATTTGTTTTGAAGGGGTCCTGGAGCTAGCCTTATCTAAAGTTTTCCAGACAACTTAAAAAGGTTTTAACAAGCTGTTTCTGGGAAATGAGGTACTGGTACTGAATGGTTATCACAAGTCCCTAAGACATCTGGTTAGAGCTGCTTAACACCAACCAGTAATGTTTTTATGACTCCTCCCAAAACATGTGAGTATGACTGAAAATCTCTGCAATTACTCCCTGAAATCAATCACTGTAGGCCTTTGTACCCAATTAACCAGTAGAAGCCCACTCCCTACCTCGTAATCCGTCCTTCTTGTGACCTCAACCAAAGACTAACCAATCAAACTACTGTATTATAATTTCTTTGTTCCTTGGACTGTATCTGTTCCTATTAGAGGCTCTCTTGCTGAAGTTATCAGTTCTCAGTTATGTGAGCTGGTGTCTCTTTGCATTCGAATGTTATTTTTTTTTAAACTGAATAAATCCTTCTAAGCTTATTTCAAGGACTGAGTGATTTTATTCTCCACAACAATTTGGGGAGGTTCGTCTGC